GTTGCGTTTGTTTAAGAAGAGTTGTAATTTTCTTTATTTTATTGTGTAGGGAGATCTTATAAAAAGATCAAACTTTTAAACTTATTATAACGACTAAAGCTATAATGTGTTGCACAATGAAAATATCAACTTTTCACCCAAACAAGCTGGCGACCACAGTGGGAGCCAACAGCCTTACTGTCAAGGCTGTCGTTCCGTAGCCGACGATCAAGATCCCCGTGGTTGAAGAGGTCAAATACGAGTTCGACAAACAGAAGTTCGAGAAGTATGTCTCCTCCTCTTCCTCCAGATCCGCCTCTCCTCGCAAGTGCAGGAAGGTCTCCTCCTCCCAGAAGATCCGTTGGTCTTCAAATTTGAAGACCCAAGAAGGTAATCTCCCCACTACCACAGTTGCAGTTGCACCTCACAACTATCCGTCGGCGTCCGATGAAGCCAAAGCCACACATCCGGGCACCGTCTCCATTAAAGAGTTAACTGCTAAAGGCACGCCAACTTTATCGAAGAGGGCTCGTCAAAGGTGCTACCAATGTCTCACCCGCTAATTTGCTAAGGCTTTGGAGCAAGTGGATGGACTCCGCTACCAAGCAGATCTGAAGTCTAGGAGACGTCAAGTGGCTAAACCATCGCCACAACAAGCTTTAGGATTCTTCTCCAAATGACCTACTAACAAATGGATTCGTGTCAAACGGAACCATTTTACTCTGGAGGAGTGCATTCAGAAGCGCCTCGCACTTCTTACGCATGCCCGGATCCTTGTACGAAAAGCACAAGAAATGCAAAAAGAAAAGGCGGTTAAGAAATCGCTCAAGTATAAACGGGTTTGGATGCTAAAGGTCAAATCAACGCCTAAGGCAAAGGCGGACGAAGTTACTATTCAGACTTCATCAACTTCAGATCCCGCTCCCTCTGCTCCTGCACATAACTCTCTAAGTTCAAGATTCCATTAAAGGATCGTCTTGGTCCTCTACCCGAAGATCAAGGCAAAGTTCCGATCAAAGAATGCTTGGGCCCAGTGAATGAACCCCGAGCAACTCATTGAGTTAGGGGTCGCACACGCCCTCGTAACAATTTGAAGCCTTCTCATAAAGAGAAAACTCTATAACTGACCGCCTCGGACTATGTGTCGAAGTCCAAGAGCCCATTGAGGTCCCATGCTTACAAAGGCGTAACTCCAAACGTGTGACTCTTGAAAATGCTAACAAAGCGTTATATCCCCAGAAGGAAACGTATTCATCTGACAATGATAACATTATACCTGGAAAGTTATGCCAGCACACGATAGGCTGCTCCGGCAATCATACCGATGAGTTATACTATCGGGCTGAGAGTACAAACAAATCTCGAAAGAGAAGTACCCGGGAAGCGGACTCTCACTATCCATGTACCAAAATTATCCAGACAGTATTATTAGAATGTAGCTACCCCAAGACCGATCCACAGAGGGTCTCCGTATTCCAAAGGCTTTTCCCTGAAGCGTTGAAACCATGGTTGACAGGGGGTAAGTCAAGGTATTTCCGTAAAAGAAAGTCAACCGGTCAAAATAACGAATTCCCTGAAGTCACTATCAACATGGTTGACAGAGAAAAGTCTACGATTGCTTAAAACAGCTCTAATCCTGACTTTTCTCCGGGAAGAAAACCCAAGGATACATGAAGGACTGTCTTCAAATGACGAATTATCCGATACTTGTTCTGCAATCGCCTCCGATGACACAATGTCTAGCGTAGGACAAGCTCGGGAAGTGTTTATGATCAATACCGAGTAAATCGCCAAAATTCTCGAGGATGATCTAGCCAAGTAGAAAAAAACATTCAAAATTAAAATGGAAATGGCTATGCAGCAGATGAGGGAAGAGCATGACCAACAGATTCGGGCTCTGTCCAATCAACTTGGTGAATCCAGCCATCGCAAGATTGTTAACCAAGCAGGTAGTGATTTAGATATGGATGAACATCTCAATGCTGATAACCCTCCTATTGATCAGAACGTTAGGGTGGCCCTACTGAAGATAACAACACTGGGGGTGGTCTCACCGAAGATGACAATGTCGAGGGAGGTCGCGTTGTTCCTCTTAGAAATCGTCCAAAGTATGATACATATGAGGATGAAAAGATGAAAGACCTCGAGAGTAAAATCAACGCTCTGATGTCTGCTTGAGAGGTGAAAAAGACTAGTATTCCGTGTCCTTACCCAAGAGAGTGAGAGTCGATCCCGTATCTGGTGAAGTTCAACTTGATCAACCTCACGTCGTTCGATGGGAAGGGCTCACCCACTCAACATATGATCTACTTTAAGTCCCACTTGGGAATAATCTCTGGCAATGAGCCTTTGATGGTCCGGTCATTCGTTAGCACCCTTCACAGGTCTACCTTCGATTGGTACCGCCGTCTCAAGCCTGAAAGCATCAACAGCTGGGAAGATATGAAAAGCTTATTCCTCAGCAATTTCTTTGATGATGACACTAAGGTATCAATTAGGACACTCTTTGAGAAGAAACAGGAACACGAAGAGACGGTCGATGACTTCATCAAGCGCTTCCGAAATAAGGTAATAAATTGTCGAGATCCAGTCACAGAGGACTTCATCCTCCAAACCTGTCATAACAACCTATCCATTGATATATTGGAAGTTATGGGAGTAGCACCATCCAAGACTTAGAAAGAGTTAAAGGTGCACAGAGAGCAGACTGAATGCCGAGAGAAGCCAACCGACGGCTAACCCTCCGAACTCAAGCTTTGCCTCCCGTGGTAAGGGGAAGACACCTGCAATAGCTGTTGATGTTAATCAGATGTCACAATAGTAACCCCGAAGACAGCAAAAGGCTTCGGATCCGAGACTCTAAAAAGAGTACTATTTAAAGGACAAAGAAATTCCAGTTATTTTCAAATCCCTCCTTGAAAACAACAAGATCAAGCTACCACCTATAGCAAGTCAGGAGGAAGCTGATAATCACTACTGCAAAGGGGACTATTGGCGACGGACAAATCCGTCGCCAAAAGTCAAAATTACGTCGCTAATTGATTTAGCGACGGAAATATAGAAATTCCGTCGCTAAAACGCCGTCACTACTTTCAGGGTAGGTAAATCTACCTTTAGCGACGGCAAATCCGTCGCTAAATATCACCGACGGATATATAGCGACGGAAAATCCGTCGTTAATGTTGATTTTTTTGACGACGGTATTTTCCGTCGCTATATATTTAGTCGTCTCTATTTTTTATTGACGACGGAAAATCTGTCGCCAAATTCTATTTTTTTGGCGACGGTATTTATATGCTGGCGTGTCAGTTTTCCGTCGCTAAAAGATCTTTTAGCGACGGAATAGCCGTCGCTAAAAGTAATCTGAAATTTTTTAAAAAATTATTTGAAAATTTGAAATTCCTATACAATATATTTCACAATAATAACACAATAATAACATGTACAATAAATTTACACAACACAAGCACATATAACACATATTTCATTCTCACGCATATATAACAATTATTTCACTAAAAACATAATAAATATTCCAACATCATAAATGTTATTTATACAGCACACCCATAGTTTTCAATGTTAAAACAAAAAAATCAATCCTGATCATCATCATCGTCATCACCAACTCCACCTTGTCGAGAAGTCCCAGCCTAAAAATATAAATAAAACGTTATAGAGCAATACGTACATCATCAAAAACTGAATTTTACAGTAAAGTAACAAATTATAAAACAACAAGGCATGACATGCAAGTATAGCAATAATAGAGTATCATGGCATATTCTTACATGTTATATGATTCAGAGAGAGTATCATGGCATATTTTTATGTATTATACGCAAGCACGCACATGTTTTTAACAACGCACGCACACACTCTAACCTCACCCGCACACACGCACGCACTTGTACCTATCTCCACCAACACGCACACACGCACGCACGAGTACCCAGCTCAACCCAATCCCCACACTTCCCCCTCCCCCACCACGACCAAACCCAACATCAAGCACGCACATAACGACCACGACAATACAACACATGCAACACCACAACACAACAATAACAACACCACCACCACCACAATAACAATCCCCAACCCCACCCACGAACCAACCAAACTCCTACCCCCCACCCCCTCCCCCTCCATCATCATCACCACCACCACCACCACCACGACGAAAACACCCATGTTAACTAAGTAAGAATTTTATATTTAATTCATTTAATATATATATATATATATATATATATATATATTACCTGATCCGCCAAAAACCGTCTCCTATATGCCTCCTGAGCATCAGAAGGCAGAGTCGATATGAACTGGGTGAATTCCAGCTCCCTCTGCTCCCGGCGCCTCCGTTCTTCCTCCGCCATCTGGAGTAGCTCCGACTCCCGACGCGACTGCCAATCTTCCATCGCTTTCATCCGCTGCTCCATAGTCGGGTCTTGAGAAGAACTGCATCCTGGTGGAGCTGCAGACTCGTAGGTGCTACTGGACTCGTACGGCCGATGCTCGGATCCTCTCCACCTGTATCTGTTCTTCCTACTCGGTCCAATGACGGTCTCGATGATGCTATCCTCCTCCTCTCTACTTAATCGGGTCGGAGTGTTAGAATCGACCTGAGTCTGTGATAATTGCTCCTGCACCTTAGCATGTAATTTCTCCTGCGATATACCAAAACAACCCGGTCAATTCTAACACATTTAAAATGCATTGTTATAAAAATTAAATATACAAATTAACTGCTACTTACAGCCAGATCCCGGTTCTGCGCTTTCTTCACTTCATCGGCGTAATTTGGACTCCAACCAGTCAGAATACGATCTGCAAAATGCCCGAGTTCTCCCCTTCCCTATTTTATTCACATATATCATTAACTCATAACACATAAATTATACTCAAATTGATAACCTAAGAGCTAATATATTATATACCTCAAGCGCCAATTGATGATAATGCTGGCTGAAGGACCTGAAGCCCCCGTGATGCTCGTAACTGCGTGGTGCATTGCGGTTCCTCCTTGCTATTTCAGCTTGTTCCTGCAAAAGAATGTTAAACAGATATAATATAGAATTTCAAACAATAAACGAAGATATATACTTCAATAATACCTGAGCTTCGGCCGTGTCCCAATAATCGCAAAGTGCAAAAAAATCAACTCCATCGGCGCGCTCGTCAAGATGCCAGTAACGCTCCCAATCTTCTGTTCTTTGAGTAAAATATTTTTTCTTCAGCTCTGACCGCCACCTCTTGAACGATAGATTGATTTGCGTGAAGCAGTAAGTCCAGGCATAAGCGTAATCGTCAAGAAAGAAAAATCGCTTCAGCATACAATGAAAAAAGAGATACAAATCAGTGTGTTAAACAAAATAATAAAATGACTAATAATTATGAGAATTAAAATAAATGACTCACACATATATATCGCCAACAAGCCACCAGCGCATCAATCCGCTGCGACTTCCACGTCAAATATATGTTGAAGAAATCATGTCTCCTGGCTAAAGCGGCGAGGAAATTGTTGAATGAGTTAGCAAATGGCCCGACAGGCACGCCGTTCTCCCATCGGATCACGGCCCTCCGATGAATATCTGGGATGAGGTTCTGTGTCTTGGTACCACTGCGGCCGCGCCTAGTAGGTCGCTCGGTACCTACGAAAAAATGAAATTCAGGCGAAATATAAATCAATCAATATCGATAATACAAATTAAAATATTAACATATAAACTATAAAAATCTATACACACCTTTCAATTCGAGGCATCTACGCCTTGCTTGTTCATACCTCTGCTGTGCGATAAGTCGCAAATCATGATAAGCATCCCAATCCTCCTTCACCTTGGCCGGGTCGTGGGCTCGCTGATCCGGAATAGAATCCGGCGGTAGTGGCGCAGCTTCTACAGCTGCGCTATATGGCTCATATCGGCGCTCCTCCAATACATCTGCAGCCTGAGGAGGCGACGGCGGCATCTCTGCATGCTGGGTAGGATCAACGAGTGTCTCCGCATCAGGTGGAGCATCTCCTCGTCCTGTGTCCTGTGGCGGCCCGTCATGTGTAGCAGCGATGCGGCCTGCGTAGGAAATGTGAAAAAATAATGTTAGGCTCGTATTAATAGTTTATAGAAATGTACAGATATAATAAATAAATAAAAATACCTGACGTAGAGCCATGTGCGTCGCCTCCAGAATGTCTACCAAAAACTCTCTCAAGCGCTCTCTTACGTAATCCTTTTGTCATCTATACTTTGAAAACATAATGAGTACCCAACAAAACTATAATACATGACAAAAACTGATACATGATAACCAGTCAAACAGATAATATAAAGGCAATACTATAATACATGACAAAAACTGATACATGATAACCAGTCAAACAGATAATATAAATGCAATACTATAATACATAACACAAACTGATACATGATAACCAGTCAAACAAATAATATAAAGGCAATACTATAATACATGACACAAACTGATACATGATAACCAGTCAAACAGATAATATAAAGGCAATACTATAATACATGACAAAAACTGATACATGATAACCAGTCAAACAGATAATATAAAGGCAATACTATAATACATAACACAAACTGATACATGTTAACCAGTCAAACAGATACATGAATGTTCTTTTTAAATCATAACCAAGCATCATGTCCTTATGATGATGTTGAGGCTCTACTCTGCGACCGTGTGCGGTTAGCCTGCGACCGTGTGCGTGCAGACAAAAGGACTGTCCTTATAGTTTTATCGACTCTACCGTGGACTCGTTTTTTGACTTTACGCCTTGGCTCACATATAATCATAGGTACATCAGGGCGCGCCAGTGCAATTTCATCCACCAGATTATTTTGTGTTAATGAAAACTCAGCAACTGTTTCGTCGGCCAAGATAACATCTTCTTGATCTTCGTCAGACACGGCTTCATGAATGTAGGATCTAGGCGGATTCTTAAGGACAACCCATTCGTCATTTTTCATTATATCTTTGACATAAAAGCACTGTTTTGCGTGAGCAGCTAACATGTACTTTTCAGTCTGATATATTTCCTTGTTAAGATTAACAAGTGTGTAACCGTAGTCATCCTTCACCTTTTTCAGCTCACACCAACGAACCTTAAACATCACATGTCTGACTTCATTATTAATCCCATAGAAAATCTCCACAATGTCTTCTACCTGACCGTAGCAATAGATTTCACCTTGTATCGGATTTAGATCTTTTGAACTAGCGTATGACAGTTGCGAGAAGGAGCAGAACACACCGCTATTTTGCGTTTGTCGTCTCTCTTCGAAACCGATGGTGTTAAACCTAAAGCCGTTGATACAGTAACCTCCATAACGCTTAACCACGTTAGAAGGACCTCTGGCATATAAACATATTTTCTCAGACAGGTTAACCCCATTCGTAATACGTCGGTCAACCTTTAAGAAAAGAAACAAATAGTTTAAATATCTGTTGGCAGGCACATATTTGATATTCGAATCAGAAATGTAAATAAATCTTACTTCACACTTCAGCCATGCAGGGAATTGTCTAGAGTGTGTGTCCATAACTCTTTTATTTTTTGTTCTGCATTTAAGAATAGTCTGGACATATTGGATGTGAAGCCTAGAATAAAATCATTTATAACAGTTAAATAGAGATAGTTATTGTAATGTGATATGATCTGATTCAAATAGTTAAATACTTACGCCGCGTATATGTTAAATGTAGTATCATTGCTCAAGATATATGTGTGGGCTTGATCTAGCTCCATTCTGGGGAATCTAGTGTCCTCCCCACGATCATTATAGAATGTTCCGTCAATTATTCGTTGGGGACGGTTGAGCCTTGTCTCCACACCCCGCAAGTAACGAGAGATAAAATTCAAACTCTTATTACTTATATAGTTCTCTGCTATCGATCCTTCAGGACGTGCACGATTATGCATCAAATGTTTCATGAAACCCAAATACCTACAAGCATATAGTTTCATGATTTGTGACAAAATAAAACTGATATACGTAATTTAACAAATATTAATTGAGCATTATAATAATAAATACCTCTCCACAGGGTACATCCAGCGATATTGAACTGGTCCTGCGATGCGGGCTTCATATGCTAAATGTATTGTGAGATGCACCATGACCGTAAAGAACGAGGGTGGAAATAGAATTTCCATTTTACACAGTGTATTGGCTACACGTCCCTCTAATTCTTCAAACTCCCTGACATCAATCACCTTGGAGCACAACTGCTTGAAGAAACCGCAATATTCTATTACCACCATCGCGAGTTCCTTCTCAGCATGTCGCAACGCAACCGGGAGAAGTTGATGCAATAGAATATGATGGTCATGTGTCTTGAGTCCCAAAATTTTCCTGTCCTCAATATGCACATTTGCTGAAATGTTTGAAGCATAACCATCCGGTGTCTTCACGGACTTTAGAAATAAACACATATTATGGATCTCATCCTTCGACAGTGTGACACGGGAGGCTGGGAGTACAAACTTTCCGTCACCCTTATCTATAGCTTGCAGTTCGGGACGGATGTTCAATTCTGCTAGGTCTCGACGTGCCCTTAAGTCATCTTTTGATTTTTTCCCATCCTGCAACAAAGTGTTCAAGAGATTCTCGCATATGTTCTTCTCGATGTGCATGACATCCAAGTTGTGACGTATTTTTAAACTTCTCCAATATGGCAATTGATAAAATATGCTGAATTTTGACCATCCATGCGGAAGTTCAGTACCCTTAGAGACACGCACATGCGATTGGACAGTGCGAGGTTTATTTCCCATCCTTGTTTGCTTACCCTTTCCCCTTCCCTTCCAATTTTGCTTCAATATTTTTCTCCTAACCCCAAATGGATTTTCTTTGTTGAATCTTTTCTTTCCAAATATTTTTTTAGGTAGAGGATGTAGAAGCTCAAATATTTCTTCCCCGGTCAGCCTTGGTGGTGCCGGTCTGTTTTCTGGATTGCCGTCGAACTTTCCTACTAACTTTCTGAACTTGTGCCCTGTAGGTAACCATCTTCTGTGTTGCCAATAACAGAACTTGCGGCTGTATTTCAGGAACTTTCCCTCATAATCTGACATGCAAACCGGACAAGCAATCTGACCCTTCGTCGACCATCCAGACAAGTTAGCATATGCTGGAAAGTCATTAATTGTCCACATGACCATTGCACGCATACGGAAAGCCTCCTTACCATAAGCATCGTAAGTGCTGACGCCTTCATCCCAGAGAAGCTTCAAGTCGTCAATTAATGGTTGGAGGAAAACATCAATGTCATTTCCAGGAGAATATCTTCCAGGGATCAAGAGTGACAGTATCATGTATGGCTGCTTCATGCACATCGACGGCGGCAGGTTGTACGGTGTCAGCAACACTGGCCAGGTAGACCAAGCAGAGCTCATTACTCCAAACGGATTAAATCCGTCGCTAGCAAGCCCCAGCCTAATATTCCGAGACTCCTTACCAAAGTCAGGGTATATACGATCGATGTGCTTCCATGCCTCACCATCAGCAGGATGTCTCAATTTCCCGTCCTCTTTACGATCGGTCGAATGCCATCGCATATTCTCAGCCAGCTCGGCAGACATATAAAACCTCTGCAGCCTAGGAATAATAGGAAAATATCGGAGAACCTTCACAGGGATTCTGCTCTGTTTATTGGATGATATGCCTTCAGATGTGCCCGTATGTTTTTTCCAGCGTGATACATGACACGTCGGACATTCCTCTAGACCTTCATTACCCTTATTGTACAAGATGCAGTCATTAGGACAGGCGTCTATCTTTTTGTAATCAAGACCCAGGGTATCAACAATCTTGTGAGCTTCATAATAAGTTGTGGGGATGCTCTTCTCGCCGCCTGGAATGACTTTCCTGAGCAAGTCTAATAACATATCGAAATGTGTAACAGCCATCCCACTGAGTGTTTGGATATGAAGAAGCCTCAGCATAAAAGAAAGCCTTGTGAACTCGGTGCAACCCTCGTATAACGGTGACTCGTTTTCTTCAACAAGTCTCATCAATCGGGCTACATCTTGAAACATATCAGTAGTGTTAACATCACTCGAAGACGGCACGGTAAGAATATCTTCCAACATATCAGTTGTGTCAATTGTCGGATTGTCGACATCAGTAAACTCTTCCTCTAATTGCATCACCGGGACGCCTTCACCGTGATGACTCCAAAATACATAAGAGCTATCAAATCCATTGATTGACAGATGGAAACTTACGTCACTCCTAGTGAGCATTTTATCATTCCTACAATTCTTACAAGGACAAAAAATCAACCCGCTGAGTGACCGTAGAGGGTTGGTGTCAGAGTAGGCTAAGAAAGCTTCTATCCCATCGCGAGGGTCTGGGAGAGAGAGAGGGGGAAAGAGAGGGGGGGTTTGCGGGTCTGAGAGAGGCTAATAAGCCTCTCTCGGTTAAATCGGG